CTGCAAAATCACTTTATCGTGTTTCTCGTTGTATTGCGGCCGTTTGTCTTTCAATGCTCGGCTCAAACGCATCAATTGCGTTCGATACCGATCGCCTGTGATTGTTTCAGTCGGTTTTAACAGTTCATAATATACTACGCCGAGCTGGTCCCACTAAATACAGAGCATGACCTTGGATGTCAAAATTACCGTTCTTGAAGCGTTGAAACCACTCACGACACGACGTTCTTTCACTAATAGCGGCCTCATCATAAGTATTTGAGAGTATTCGATGAGCCTCAGCCGCAGATTTCTTCATATTGAAGCAAAAAATTAAAACCTCCCGCAAATGACGAGAATTTGGCTCGTAAACTGACATTTTCAATCGAGAATAACTTTATGATGCAGACACAAATCGACTAATGTTTCTATGGGGTTATGTTGACAGATGCCCAAGTTTATTGTATGACGTCTATGATCTATTTATTTCGACCACCACTTACCGCTAAAGCCATCTATAGGAAAACGGCGGAAGCAAAGTTGTACACTTAATATCTTCCTTCAAATTTTCGAATCATCTATAAATTTTTTTCTTTTTAAATTTGGTAATGGCAAATCTCTTTGTAACATTTTATATCCTGTATTACAGCAAATAAATTTGTGTTTATAAGCTTTTCATAAAGTTTCTTTTAATGATTTGGGTATTTTCTTGTAATTACCGCATAAAAGCAAAATTTGATTTCGATTTAAAAAAACTTTTTAAGAACATTCGACAGGTTATTAATTACGCTGTATGTTTTTTTGTTCCAATCTTTTTATCTTATGTTTAGCGAAGTTAGTAGTTACATAGCTTAATTTTATTTTACGTAATACTTTTTTACTCTTGTTTTATTCACTTCTTTTAATTCGTTATAACGTTTTAACCTCTCTATTACTAAAGTTGTTTTATTATTAATTTTCTGTTTTATGTTTTCATATGTTTAAAATCATATGTTTAAATCTATATTTTGATATTTTTAATTAATATTTTATTAGTTCTTATTTTCAATGTTTTTTTGTTTGTTAATAATAAAAAATTCGTCTCTGTAATAAATCACTACTTATTGTAGTTTCTAGCATATCTTTAAAATAAAAAGAATATTTATTACTTTAAAATAGTAATTTAAGTACTTATTATTAAAAAGTATTTGATTTTAAAAAATGCATATATACAATTTTTTGTAGAAATTGTATACACTCAAGTTATTGTAAAAAGATTAAAAAAAATTATCAATAATTTCTTTTTATTTACTTTTGAATGAAGTTGGATATAGCATTTGTTTAAAATTTTTTAATATCTCATTTTTATGCTATTTCTAGTGCCAAATGATGCTAAAGATACGAAATGTTCTATTTTAATAAGTAAATAATAACTTATGTTGATTATATACTTGTTTCAATAATTTTCGAATTTTACAATTCAAGTAGTCTTATATGTCCAAAGTAGAAGCGTATTATTTCACATATTATTAGATTGCGATTTATAATTTAATATTGGGGGGATGCTGGAGTTGAAAGCTAGAGTAACGAAATCATTGGTACATCACAATCGTATAAAAATCTCCGAATTGACTGAACGAAATTAAACATCTTTTTATAGGATTGAAGTAGACGCAAAATTAGATAGATGGGCAGTGAATTTTAAACTAAAATCGAAAAAAAATTAAAAACATACATTTTTCAACTCGTTGAGCAGTATCACTTGATATAGGTTCCTTAACGTAAAAGTTCAATATCTCTGGACAAAATGTCATTGCACCACTCGAATTACGTAAAAACAATACTGAGTTTATGGAACTAAAATTGAAAGCTTAAAAGAAAAAAAGATTTATATTGATTTGCAAATTATATGTGTACATGAGACATTCCACGTGAAAGGAACCTAAAAAATAAACTGTTTGGGATCTTTAATCATGAAAAGTATCATATCAGTGGACATATTGTTGAAGATAAAAAAATAAATATTATATTCTGTTGTAAAGTATATATTTTAGCGCCCTCGCGAAGCTTTTATAATATAATAGCGTTTTTCATTGGGAGAACTCATGCACATTGAGGCGCGGACTGCGTGTTTCATTAGGGATTTTAGAGCGCACGAAGATCGTGCGCGCTGTTTTATTGGTAAATCTAGTATCGAATTTTTGTACCACTTTTGTGCAAAAATCTGGCATGAGCCCCGAGAGTCGGTTGTGTGCAAAATATGGCGGCGCAAAGTGATGAAAATGATTTGAACAAATAAACTACTACTGGAAGTGATATTTTTCTTTTCATCTAATAGTAATGACGATTATTTATTCTCAAATAGAAAACGTGTTATCTCATACAAAACTTTTTAGAAGTGGTGTATAACTTTTCTTATAACGAGATACTCTCTAAATCTAAATCAGTAGATAATCACTGATATCAGTACCAAGTATGCCATTGGTAATCAATGAATTAAATATGAGATTCCTACCTAGTTGCTAATCTTTAATGTGTGATCTAACTAATCTTGTTTAATGCTTAAATTCAATGAATATAGTATAAAAGATTGAAATTAACATGCAAATAATAGTATTTTAGTTATATAATGCTCAAACATTCTTCCTTTCTTAGTTGAATTTGATTATCAGTTCAAAGTATGCCACTGGGTAATTAGTGACTATCCATTGATTCAGATTTAGACAGTAAGTTTTTGTAGGTTAGATTAGGTTAGGTTGTCATATTTTACTTGTAAATGTTTATATTGATGTTTTAGTTTAAAAACAATTTTCGAGTTTCTCGAGCAACAACATATAAAATTGTATGTAGATTTGTTTGAAAATATATTCTATCATCTCAGCGAACAAAGTCATGGAGATATTGAATCTACGTCCGCTGAAATACACGTTTTGACATTTTTGTGATGATAAGTTTGACATATTATTTTGAATATACAGTTATTATTTAATTGCCATTTAACAAATATTAAAATCGATTTGGAAATATATGTAGGTTTGCTAGAAATAAAATTGCTAAGAAAAGTTGCACGGAGATTTGGAGTGTGTCCTGCTAACGACTTACCGACAAAATAATAGAGTTATGGATTTCTTGTGTTATATAACTGGCAACGTTATCAAATTTTCGGATAAAGAAATTATTACAAACGAATTTTTTGAAGTACAGATTTTATTGCATTAATATGAATTATTGTTCATATATTATGTAAGAGCATTTATATAGTGAGTTATTTATTATCTATGTATAATATCTAGATTGCTGGTTTTCCTAAAGTGCTTGGCTGCATTGATAGCACATTTATTAAAGTGCGAACACTAGCATACAAAATTAAATCGACGTACGTGAACAGGCATCCCTTCAATCACGTTATAGGGTATATGCGATGAGATTTATTTACAGGAATTCCGTCAAAGATTCACGACGCACATGTTCTGAAATTGTTATATGAGGTGTTGCCAGGATATGCAAAGACAATAAGTATTATATACTAGGAGATGCAGCCTACTCTATATGAGAATGGCTAATTGTTCCATAAGATTATGGAAAGATTATGAAAATCTTTCCGAAAAGCAGATGTTCAATAAAAAATTTTTTGTGCTATACACGTAAAAATCATTTTACTTTCTTCTCATAAATTTCTGAGAATTTTTCAGGATTTTTTCAGAATTTTTAAATATCGTATTTTCTCATGTTGAAAAATAAGAAAAATAATAACGAGAAAATATAAAAAGATAATTAAAAAGATCACTTTTGCAACTTATTCTTTTAATTATTTCATACGCACGTTTTCTCATTATTATTATTATTTTTATCATACTAAACAATAATTCTACAAAAGAAAGAAAGATATATGGACATATATATGGACATATATATGGACGTATAATTATATAATACAGCATATGAAATATGTGAACTCTCGTATATACGCCGCACCTATCCAAAACTTAATTTATTAAGTATTATTTACTATGTTTAAGAAATATTTATATTTCATATTAAAAAATGACCCTTATATTTTTACTATATATCCTATATGGGATATATATATATATATATA